TCCCCCGTCGACGAATCCACAACGGCAGAGACACATCGGCAGGTACGGCTGTTGGAAGAGAGTTAATAAGCAATTGTCCCAGGCACCCGAAATGCCACACCACTCAATTGCTGCACACCGCCAACATAACAACCGCATCACGTCGCCGGGACAAATCGCGGACTCAAGCTCTTCTCGCGAGGGCCGCCACAGCCGGGATCTTGTACGTGCGTTCTCAGCACTCACGCCGCTCCACAGCGTGTGCAAAATGGCGTGTGTTTGTGTGTGTGTGTCAAAGCCTACACTTGCAGAGCAGCTGTGCAGGAAAAGAGAGTCAGAAGAAAGCAATGGCAGAAAGAAGCGGATAGCACACACGCAAATTACTCATATCATCACACACACACACACACACGCAGCCCGCAGAATGGGTGCTCTCAACCACAAAACAATGAAAAACAAAACAAAAAGCCGAAGCGTGGGACGACCAGCGCACACACTCTCATTGCTCCCGTAAAGCAAAACACACACACAGGGAGAGAGAGAGAGGTCGCCCACTCAATGCAATGGAAACAAAAACAGTTACGGTGCTCCGCCCATGCAGCCAGGCAGGACGGCAGTGGTGCGTGTCGTGCAAAAGAGAGCACCAACGGGCATGCATGGGTGTGCATGCATATATACAATGGGCACATTATGTGTGTGCTTCGTGGGATGAGGTGGGGGCGAGAGTCCATGCAAGGGGACACACACAGAGAGTGGGTGAAAGACGAGTGTGTGTGCGGGCGGTGCACGGCTCTCTCTCCCTCACTCTCACGCGGCCACCACCGCAGCAGCAGCCGCACACACAACAACAAGAAGCAAAAGCAAAAGAGGGGAGGTGGTGTGGGAGGCCGCGGTGCTGCCGTCACTGTCGTCAGGCGTCGCTGTGCCATTTTTCGGAGCTGCGGCCTCGTCTGGTGTTTTTTCCGTCGTATTATCATCCTCAGTTTCGCCTTGTTGTGCTGCTTCTGGTTGCGGCACTGACACGCCATTCGCAGAGCTGCGCTGTTCATTCTCTGGTTCTGCTTCTGGATTTCCTTCCGATTCTTCTTGTCTCGTCAACACCGCCGGTGCCTTTTCTCCTTCTGCCGTTACTTTGGGTACATTTGCTTTATTGGCTGGAGGTGGCGTGGGAGAGCTGTGGGTGCCTTCACCGTCCTTCGAATCTCCAAGGGGCAAATTGGGGTCCGTGTCTCCGTCTTCTGTTTGATGGCCGCTGTCAAGTTTCTCACCACCAGTCAAATGGGCTTGATTGGCTGTGTTCGGGCCTCCATCGCCGTCATTGTCGGAGGTTGAGGCTGGACCAGGAGTCTCTTCAGTTTTCTCAGAGGATTCGTTGGATCGAGAAGAGTCGCCAGAAGAGGCTGACGCATGTTGGGATGGACTCAAAGAGGACTGAGCACCTCCCTTATGTGAATCTGTTACGGAGTTCGTAGTTCCGTCTGCACCATTTCGTGAGACGTCACCGCCATTTCCAGTCGAACCAGTGGAAGAATCAAACAATCCCGTAGATGTCGAATCCGTCTCACCCAAATACCGAGATCGAATTGAACTGTTATATACACTCTTGTACTGACTGTGACTAAAGCAGGATTTATCATCGCCTTCACATTCCTTGTAGGGCCACGCCTAGCCACAGCCGGCACCGCACCACAGCACGCAGAGGGCACACACCAGCAGCACACGGCCAGTCATCATCATCGCCATCATCACTCCCGTCACTTGCGTGCTGCCTTCAGTACAAAGTAACTCCCCGTCAACGCAGAGTGAAAGCAAAAAAGAGAGAAAGGTCACACCACACACCATGAGACAGATGGAATCAGTGAAAGGCGAAAACACACACAGCCCCGCAGCAATTAATCAGCAAGAAAAACAAAAAACTAGTAAAAGAACAAAAAAGTAGGAGGACAAAAACAAGGAGCTGCAACGAATGACTCCAGCGTAAAAATGCCACACCCAAGGCTCCACGGCACATGCGCATGAGTGTGTCTGCGACGCGTTCAACGTGACGGATGTGGTGCACAACGCGGAGCACACAGCAGGGCAGCGGAAGCAAACAAAGCAAAAAACAATCATCATAATTACTCTTAATTTATACATCGGACCACAGTAGACGTACACATGTCCCCGTGGCTGAGTGCTGGCACGCACAGCCCACGCTCCCTTTTAGCCCACAGCGGCGCACGCCAGCGCGGATACGGCGAGCAGCAGCGGGGCACACACCCACGCAGAGCTGCTGAGGCTGCCGTCGACTTCGCGAAGACGTGATGGTGCGCGGGTGGTCGTCGTGATTGGCGCCTCCGTATTTGGCACTTTTTTTTTTTCTGACGTGATGTCTGTGACGTATGATTCTCAGCACCTTGTGGATATTCCTCCGCCTATTTATTTTGTGCA